AATGAGCTTACATGCTAGAGGGAGTGGGGTAAAATGACACAAAAAGGTAAGGATAGTATAAGACTTGTGACAGTTGCAGAAGAGAAATCAGTCAGGAGCTATTAACAGTTTAATTTATATGCTTTTTTTTAAAAAAATTCTTTATTTATTTCATTTTTGATGAAACAAGGGTAGGGGTTACATATAGGAAGGGAGGTATCAAAAAGTACAATTGTTCATTTTCATTGTAGCTATGTTGAACATGTTATACACATTGCAGTGAAATTCCATACAGGTTAACCTTTGTTTGGATGCTCATGTCGTGTATAGGGCCTGAACCTTCGCCCTTCTGGGTGTCCTGGTGTAGGTGTTCTTGTGGTTTAATTGTGGTGGGTTGGATCTGCTGGGTGCTGAGCAGGGAGTGTTGTTATGGACTGTTATGCTCAGTGCTTGTAGGTTCCTGTATTTGCACTTCCAATCGTTGTGTGTGTCGGGGGGGGGGGAGGGGTGTTTGAATGGAATGTAACTTGGGGGAGTTATGTAACTTGTAATTTGAGTTCCGTATAAAAAACAAAGCTGTTGGGTGTATGTGTTGTGGGTTATGAGGTAGTGTGTGTCTTCCATTGTGTGGGGTGGTGTCATAGGTACGAGGTTCATTTCTCGTAATTGTTTGTCATGAGGTCTTGCTGGGATCGGGTGGGTTGGGAGTTAGGTTGTGGGGTTTTTCGGGGGTGTCTGCGGTACGGTTTTCGGTTCTTTAGCAGGGGGGATTCTTTGCGGGAGGGTGGTGCGTCGTTTCCTCTGATAGGGTGTTTGCGACTCCGCTCTGCATTGTGTATCTGGGGGGGTCGTGGGAAGAAGAGAGAGAAAAAAAAAAATATATATAAATATGTATAAAATAAAATAAAAATAATAAATAAATAAATAAAAAGGAGAGGGGGAAGGTCAAAAGGGAGTGAGTGGGGATATCGGGGTCCCTGAGGGACCTGGGATGCTAGTGTAGTCCCAATGAGCCAAGGGTCCCATATCTTATGGTAGGATTGTGTGGTGTCGTGCGCAAGGGCTGATAGTTTGTCCATTTCCATCGTTTCGTAAATTTTTTATAAAACTTCAGGGGTGGATGGGAGTGAGTTGCTTTCCCAATGTTGAGCTATGGTTCTCCGGGTGGCCAGAGCAACTCGTGCCGACAGTTTGTTCTGGGCCCTAGTAAGTGAGTCGTGAGGTTTTGACAGGAGCCAAATCCAGGGGTCTAGTGGGAGGTCACTGCGCAGTATTCCATTGACTGTGCGCGCAATGTCTTGCCATAGACAGGCTATGTGCGGACAATGCCACCATAGGTGGATGTATGTGCCCTGTTCACCACACCCCTTCCAGCATCGGTCGGAAGTGGTGGTGCGCATTTGCTTCATTCGTGGGGGAGTGAGATACCAGCGGAACATCGTTTTATACGCTTGTTCTTTATGAGTGACGCATATGGAGATGGCCGCTGTGGCTTCCCATATGCTCTGCCAGTCTGCTGGGTCCTTAGATGGGCCTATGTCTCTTTCCCATGCCGTGGTGTATGTTAGTGCGTTTGGGGTGTTGGTGAGTAGAGATGCACCGAACGGTTCGCTGGCGAATAGTTCCTGGCGAACAAAGCATGTTCGCGTTCGCCACAGCGGGCGAACATATGCGCGGTTCGATCCGCCCCCTATTCGTCATCATTGAGTAAACTTTGACCCTGTACCTCACAGTCAGCAGACACATTCCAGCCAATTAGCAGCACACCCTCCCTAGCAGACCCTCCCACCTACTGGAAGGCATCCATTTTACATTCATTCTCAAGCTGCATGCTTAGTGAGAGGAGGGAAAGTGTAGCTGCTGTTGATTAGATAGGGAAATGCATAGCTAGGTTAGGGTATACAGTGTCCACTACAGTCCTGAAGGACTCATCTGATCTCTGCTGTAAGGACAGCACCCCAAAAAGCCCTTTTTAGGGCTAGAACATCAGTCTGCTTTTTTTTTCTTTCTGTGTAATGTAATTGCAGTTGCCTGCCTGCCAGCTTCTGTGTCAGGCTCACAGTGGATACTGTGCCCAGTGCCACCACTCACTCACTGGTGTCACAATAGCTTGCATTTAAAAACAAAAAAACTTTTTTCACTGTTATAGATTGAATAGCAGTTAGTTGTCTGCCAGCGTATGTGCCAGGCTCACAGTGGATACTGTGCCCAGTGCCACCAGTCACTCACTGGTGTCACAATAGCTTGCATTTAAAAACAAAAAAACTTTTTTCACTGTTATAGATTGAATAGCAGTTAGTTGTCTGCCAGCGTCTGTGCCAGGCTCACAGTGGATACTGTGCCCAGTGCCACCACTCACTCACTGGTGTCACAATAGCTTGCATTTAAAAAAAATTAAAAAAAATTCACTATAATAGATTGAATAGCAGTTAGTTGTCTGCCAGCTTCTGTGTCAGGCTCACAGTGGATACTGTGCCCAGTGCCACCACTCACTCACTGGTGTCACAATAGCTTGCATTTAAAATCCAAAAACTTTTTTCACTGTTATAGATTGAATAGCAGTTAGTTGTCTACCAGCGTCTGTGTCAGACTCACAGTGGATACTGTGCCCAGTGCCACCACTCACTCACTGGTGTCACAATAGCTGCATTTAAAACCCAAAAACTTTTTTCACTGTGCTGGATCACCTGGCACCCGACTGGGTACCTCCGTTAAAGGTTGCTCCTAGCATTTCCTGAGGACTCCAAGCACTCTGGCAGACACCACAATCACCGAACCGGAGAAGCATATGAGTACTTTTAAGCATATGAATGTTGTATACAGCCGAATAGGAAAAACCATGCGAATAGGTTTACACTCCTAGCAGTCAAACTGGAACAGCATACAAAATATCCTCCCCCAATAATGAGACGACACTCCACTTTGAGGGTTAAGCAGTGGTCTGGTGCTGTACAGCCTGGTTTTTATTGCAGTGTTTCACAGGACCACCCACAAGGGAGAGGGATAAAACAACCAATCATATGCGATTCATCCACATATTCCCTCCCCTTATCCTGAGAAGAAACTCAATTATACATACAGTTAAAACATACTTTCTACCCAACTTTCATAACTCCAAAACCATACATCACATTCACATAAAATTACATATTCACAATCAATCCATTCAGGGGAACAACATATTCAAAAATGGCACAAATCAGACAAAGGGGTTCAAAAGTTAGTAAAAAGTCCTTTGTGACTAAATGAAGCATGGCTTTCTGGCCCAAACCAGTTTCAGAGTCTTCTATCCTGGAGATAAGTAATTCAATTATCTCCCAGGACAGACACAAGACTCCATTAAGCACATGGTTGCAAAAAGACACAAAACACTTTAAAATACATAAGTCACATTTTACACATAACACACAGACATTTCACATATCCCCAGATAGCTGGGATCTGAGTGCACATTATTAGATGAATGGCACTCAGATCACACAAATAAACCTTTCTGCAGGGGAAATAAACAGTTTAACCTGCAGGGCCATAGTCCAAAGGGAGCAGGCGAGCAGCCAGGCTTCTCCAGTTCACAGTGGCGAGGTTGGTTTCGCCACACTTCTCCCCTTTACCAACTAGACTAACAGGGTATCTGACCTCCTGCCGGTCAGTGCCCTGGTTAGTCCAGCAACCCACCCACAAAACAGAAACAGCAGTACAGCCCACCCACAATAACTGGTTACTACACCTGGGTAGAGGAGAACTTTGTCCATGTCCGGGTGCCTCACCACGACTGTGTGGGCAACTGTTAGGCTGCCTTGGTGGGTTGCTGAGTGGGCAGAGACCAGCGGTACTCTGCCCTGATGCCAGTGCTACCACGGGAGTAGCCTGGTGGGAGCCTGGTTGTGGGAGGGAGAGACCGACTGTCTCCCCTCTGGATACACCGCTCTGTGGCTGGGGAACAGGACCGACTGTCCCTACCCCTTGTGCTGTAAGTGCAGAGACTACGGTTCCATCTGCACTGTTGGGGGTGTAACATCTCCCCTTGCTGGGTTAGGCTGCCGCTGGAGAGAGGGGGTATCAGGCTCCTCTCCCTGACACTCTCTCTGCTGGTGGAGAGGGGGGCCAGCTGTCTCCCCTTTCATTATTTTGTCCTGTGGTTGGGGTGCGAGACTGACGGTCTCTGCTCCCTGCAGGACACTCTGCCGCTGGGGAGGAAGGACGGCACCTTCAGCTCCCTGAGGTACACACTGCCGCTGTGGAGGAAGGACTGCACCTTCAGCTCCCTGGGGTACACACTGCCGCTGGGGAGGAAGGACTGCACCTTCAGCTCCCTGGGGTGCACACTGCCGCTGGGGAGGAAGGACTGCACCTTCAGCTCCCTGGGGTACATACTGCCGCTGGAGATCTGGGCCAACTGCCCAGCATCCCTGTAGGGCCGGTTGAGAGACCGCCGTCCCATCTCCACCTGCCATCTGTGGGTCTGCCCAGGACCAGTCTGTGAGGTCCCTCAACATTTGCGAGTAAGGACCACCTGCTTCCGCACCTGGCAACTCCGGCTGCTGCTGGGGATCTGGGCCGGTTCCATCTCCACATGCCTGTTGTGGTTCCTCACAGGACCAGTCTATGAGGACCCCTACTTCGGGTTCCTGCGGCCGCCTCAGGGGGAGACGGCTAGCCTCCTCGGATGCAGCCTCTACTCGGCTGCTGTAACACTCCTTCCACTGAGCATACTCTCTCTCTTTCGCCAGCCGGAATTCTCGGGCCAGCCTTGTGTTTCGCTCGGCCGTGACCTGGTTCCAGATTACCCGGCGTACCTCCATGGGTAAATCATCCCCATACTGGGCCACTCGCTGCCTCACCTCGGCCATCCAATCATCGCCAGAGCCTTCCATACTTGTCTGCTCCAAGTCGCTGGATACCTCTGCTCCCAGGGTCGCTGCACGTGTGCTAGCGTTGCCCTCAATTTGTAAATCCAAACGAACTGTGTCTCTGAGCTGCTTTACCTCGCACTAGGACACCATCCCACCGCTTGCCACCAATGTAACGGATCGCCTGGCACCCCGACTGGGTACCTCCGTTGAAGGATGCTCCTAGCGCTTCCTGAGGACTCCAAGCACTCTGGCAGACACCACAATCACCGAACCGGAGAAACAAATAAATTCTCCCAAGCATATGAATGCTGTACACAGTTGAATAGGAACCATACGAATAGGTTTACTCTCCTAGCAGTCAAACTGGAACAGCATACAATAAATCCTTCCCCCAATAATGAGACGACACTTCACTTTGAGGGTTAAAACAGGAACTCCCTGTACTGTCACATACAGTCTCTTTTATTCCCAATCCACAAACATAGTACAGCCCACAGGGCGTTACAAAATAACCAATCACATCACAGTTACATCCCACATATTCCCTCCCCTTATCCTGAGAGGAAACTCAATTATACATACAGTTAAAACATACTTTCTACCCAACTTTCATAACTCCAAAACCATACATCACATTCACATAAAATTACATATTCACAATCAATCCATTCAGGGGAACCACATATTCAAAAATGGCACAAATCAGACAAGGGGTTCAAAAGTTAGTAAAAAGTCCTTTGTGACTAAATGAAGCATGGCTTTCTGGCCCAAACCAGTTTCAGAGTCTTCTATCCTGGAGATAAGTAATTCAATTATCTCCCAGGACAGGCACAAGACTCCATTAAGCACATGGTTGCAAAAAGACACAAAACACTTTAAAATACATAAAGTCACATTTACACATAACACACAGACATTTCACATATCCCTAGATAGCTGGGATCTGAGTGCACATTATTAGATGAATGGCACTCAGATCACACAAATAAGCCTTTCTGCAGGGGAAATAAACAGTTTAACCTGCAGGGCCATAGTCCAAAGGGAGCAGGCGAGCAACCAGGCTTCTCCAGTTCACAGTGGCGAGGTTGGTTTCGCCACAGAGTCTAAAGTTAAAAAATGTTCTAACGTTAAAGAAAAATGGTCCAGAGATCTAAAAATTGAGATAGATGCAAAAGAGTGGCTTATTGCTGTTCAAAAGTTATATCCATCAGTACGCTGTCTTAACATAATAGAGACCCAATATAAAATAACAAGAATATGGTATATAACACCTTGGAAACAAATGAAGATGTATCCCCAGGATAAATATAGGTGCTGGAGATGCGGTGTTGAGAGGGCAGATGAAATCCATGTATGGTGGGAGTGTCCAACAATTAATTAGTTAATTAATTAAAAGAGGCTGTGCCATAATACTTTCTGTAATTAATAATCTGCTTAATTTGAAACAGATACGGACAGCGGAAATGGCCCTTCTCCTCCACAATCTACCAATACTTGCTAATAATAAAAAATGGTCTTTGATTTACATGTTGATGGCTTTTAAATGTTCTATTGCTAAAAATTGAAAAACTGATAAAGTAGACATGTGACACAAATTAAAGAAAGGGTGACATTTCAATGCAGAATGGAACGTGCAATCGCGTCTAATTTTTGTACTAATCTTAAGAAATACAATATATGGGACAATTGGATAACAAGCCTTGATGACCAAATAAGGGAGTTTTGAGACCCTGAAAACATTTAAATACTCTTTTACCTCTTTCGGTATTAACCAAAGATTTCTCATTCCCCTGTGCTGCTCCAGCTAAGATTTAGACCTGTCTTTGTATCTGAAAGTTGCTTGTAATTTTTTGCACTTAATTAACAAGACACTTTTATATTGTAAAAAAAAAAATTGACCTTTTTAGCCCATTGCATCACTTACTTTAATAGCACTTAGCATTATTTTGATGATGGTGCCTCCAGGCCTACCCTCTCCCCAGGTTCCTAACTTTAGGTCTCCTTTCTCCCACGAGCATGAAAGGTTAAAAACCCCCTTAATGAAAAATGATTCAATAAAGACGAGGTTGTAAAAAAAACCCCCAAAAAACACACCACCTTTTACAGTATTACTTACCTTAATTCCAGCACCCAGATTCCTCACCAGTGGCTAGGTCTCCTCCTCCCACGATGTCACGCAGATGGAGGGCCTAATGCATATGCGTGGTGAATGCCACACTGGCATTAGAGCTTCCCATTGGAAAGCATTGAATTAAAGCTTTCCTAGGGGATATTGAAGACGCTGGATGTCCTCATGAAAAGTATGAGGACGTCCAACGTTGTTTCACCAAGTTATTCTCCATTTGAAGCCAGGAAGCTCCTCTAAAGGCTGTCTGGAAGAGAAACTGCAATGTTTTTCTTGTGTGGTTAAGAGGACAGGGGAACTTCACCACATGAGATGAAGTGGTCGCTATGCATAGGATGAGGTAGAGGCAATACAAATGCCTACACAGACTCTTTTGAAATATTTAATAATTGGAGCAGTGCTTCAAAATCTCCACACTGTAGTCCCATCAGCAAAAATAGAGAAAGGAAGGAGTCCTGCGCAACCAATATAAGAGTGCACACCCAGGTGCTACCACATTTTATTTTGAGAACAGAGTATAAAGCGCAAATGTTTCGGGCAATAGCCCTTTATCATTGCTAATGTCCTAAAATATACAATGTGATACATACAACAATGTGATACATTCTTATACATAAGAAATTGCTCACAAAAACCAAAGTGCCGCCCCCAGCAATCAAACTTCAATCAGAATCAGCTCTATGGAGGTTCTCCGCATCACCCGGCGATCACCACATCTCCAGTGACTTCCTCGATTGTCAGACGCGTGCCACGTCTGTTGCGCGTGACATAATCATGCTCTGTTGCTAGGAGATGAGTAAATAAACGATCGTTCAAATGCATACAGTGGAATTAACCATACAGATCATCAAATCTACATAAAACAAAGCTATTCAATCTCCTGAAAACATAAATTTAAGCTTCACTCTTAAGAACAACGCTGTGTCTACATATTTATATTTATAGGCAAAAGGGGGAAGCAAGAGAGACCAAACAGCTGACAAAGGATACCCAACATACATACAGGTGCAAAACGCCCATTTACCTAATGAAACCTTGAACATGGAGTGAAAATAAAATATAAAAAGAACACCCTCTCTAAAAGAAAGCTATACAGCATGCCAAAAAAGATGGAAAAAAACAAAGGTAAGTAAAGAGAGACAGACTGGCAAATAGTAATAGAGGACCATGCAAGATAAGATACATAGCCAAATCCAAATCCAAATCGGGCACATACTAGATGCACCTTCTCTAGTAAGTAGGGGCACCGGCACCTTTTCAAGCACTTGGTAACTGTGAGACGTTATGCCTTTTTTCTTTAAAGTGCCGTGCGACTGGTGCGTCAGTAGTCTATACTACGGATCAGACTTTTAGGGCACATATAGTTTTACCCACATAGCCCAGACCACACGGACACTTAAGAAGATAAATCACATGTAAATCTGGCATGTGAAAAACCCTTTAAGCCTGATCTGTTGGCCTGTCCTGGGGTAGGTGCAAAATTCACCCTTAATAATCCCACTGCAATGACTGCAGCTCAATTAAGGGTATGTCCCATGCACTGGTTTTGAAAGAGAAGTTTGTTTAGTGTTAGTCAGACAGTCAGCCCTAACTATTATATCTCTTATAGATCATCCGAGTTTATTAGCAAATATTAGCAAATCATGGGGGATTCTGAAATAGATGTCCAGTGTGTTTATCAGGTTGTAATATAAACCAGTTATTACGTATAATGTTCTGTATTTCAGGTGCAAGTGATTAGAAAGTACTTACAAATGGTATTCTGTCCTGTTTGGGTTTGTCTGTTGTAGAAAGTAGTTTCTCACGGTTAATGCCCAAGGCCTTCTGTTTACCTTTTTGTAACAGGCGGGGGCTATTACCCTTGCCCAAAAACGTTTGTGAGAGATCTGTCAAGCGTTTATTGACTACGCTGTTGTCGCTAACACAAAGCTAAATCTGTCATAAAAAGGTTTGCATACGATGGTAACGTATTCGCACCCATCGCAGTTTCTTTGACTTATTAATTGAGGATTGACATATACCTGAAAAAAAACTTTTTTAAGACAATTTCCAATAAGGTAGTGACAAAGAGCACATTTTTTCGTCTTTAAGATGAAGTGGTCGGTGTGCCTATAGTGTCTATTTAAACAGTGAAGTAGACTATGACTAAACTGACAACAGTAGAGCTGCAATGGTTTTACAGAGCAGTTTTACTTATCCTAAGAAATGAGCAGAACTTCTCTTGGAGGGTAAACTATTTATCTCACAAACTCCTGAAAGAGGATGATAAGCCGGTAACTGCAGGCAGACCCAATAAAAAGTGCATATGGAGTTACATTTAAAGTGCTTTTTGTTTTCTTTTGCATTGTTTATTAACAGAATATAGAGGGTAACGTTCCCCTTATAGTGTTACTTTAACTGCAATAAAGGAAAACAACCATTTAACATCATTCCTATCGTGCAGGAAGGCAGACCCATTGCCATTATCATTTGCAATGTAGGAAGAATTAGTCACTTGCCATCATAGGTGTGCGCACGGGGTGTGCCTGGGCACACCCTAATCCCTGCGGCCCGCACTATGTGCCTCCCTGCCTGTGGACCGTGAGGGAGAGCTCCGCCGGGTTCCTCTCGCGAGGTTGGAGCGTTGCCGCGGCAATGCTCAGATCTCGCGAGAGTGAACTCTAGCCTCACAGGGATGGCAGCAGCACAGTCCCCACTCCCTACAAAAGGTAAAAAGGGAGGGGGGATATTAACTAAACGGTCCCCACACCACACAATACACATGAACAGCACCCACACACACATAGCACACACACTAACAGCACCCTCACACATACACACACACACACACACAGCAGACACTAACAGCACCCTCACTGTCATGCGGTATCTCTTCCGGGTTCGGCACTTCCGCATTGCGGAGCCGGCCCCGCCCCCTTCTGACGCGGCTCTGACAGTACTTAGGGAGACCGCGCCAGGAAGAAGGTGATTGTGGGACCTACTTCCGGGTATACACACCGGCTCCACAAGCCGTCCCAGCCTTTGAGCCAATGCAAGGATTGCTGCAAGCCATAGAGGATTACTGGAGAATTACGGATACTTTGCTAATTTACAAGTGGACTATAACTCTGAACTCTTGGAGGACAACTCACCTTAACCTTAAGTATATCTTTCAACTATTGTCTGCAATATCATTTATTAATGAACCAATTCCTGCTTGCTCAAATCTTCTCTGCTTCAAGTTACTAATTATATGGAGGACAACTCCCATCATGCTTATTTACTATGAACTGTTTCTTGCTTTGCAAATACTCTCTGCTACCTGCTTAATGTTTCTATTGAAGATTATTCCCAGCAACCTAAAGAATCTTATTAAAAACTTCTCTGAGGAAATACTTATTAATGAACTTTGTATTGTTTGATAACCTGCACTTTCTTCTTATTGGATTATTGCCTATATGCAATTCATGTAAGTTTATCAATCATTAAAACTTTGTTTGATTCTCAAATTGCCAGCAATCCTCTCTTTTCTTAAAGCTACAGTATTGATACTTTAAAGATTCTTCGTTTCTTTACTATTGTAATTAAGGAGTTCTACAAGCTGCAGTTGAGTTCCAATCCAAATAACCCAAGTAGCATAACAGAATCACCAAGCCTAAAAATGGAACCAGCAGATGTGAATTCCCAAATTACCTATTTAAACCACAGGGTTGAAATACTCACACAAGGCATGCAGGATTTGCAAATTGCTAATGAGAGACTTCTTTCCTATATTAGAGAAATGCAAAATAAAGTTACACATTCTTCAAGTGACCCTGCTGTCTGCAATCCTGAAATATTTTATGGAGATCGCTCTAAATATAGAGAATTTTTTAATTCATGCAAATTATTGTTTACTCTCAAACCCAGGGCTTACTCCTCAGACAGAATTAAGGTTTGTTCAATAATTTCCTACTTAAGGGCTGAACCTATGTCTTGGGCACTTTCATTTCTGGAAAATGAAGATCCTATTTTGGATTCTTTAGATAATTTTATTGAGTCAATGTCATTACTTTATGAGGACCCTAATAAACAAGCTACTGCTGATCTTACTATTAGATTATTACAACAAAGAAATCGTCCTGTGGAGGATTATATAGCTGAGTTCAAAAGATGGGCTTCAGAAACCCAATGGAATGATATAGCTCTACGTAATCAGTTCCGTTTAGGATTATCTGAAACAGTTAAAGATGAATTATCTAGAACCACTCTTCCCCCAACGCTTGATACATTAATTCAACTCTCTATTAGTATAGATAGAAGAATCAGAGAACGTAAAGCTGAAAAGGCTCTCTCTAATTCAGTTTGGAAAAAACCCAGTCCACCTTTGCTAATGCCTAATAAACCCTTGCAACCGAGTGAACCTATGGAAGTTGGGTTTACTAGGGGACCTTTGTCTATGGAAGAAAAAAACAAGGAGGAGAGACTTAAATCTTTGTATGTACTATGCCTCTAAAGAACATCTCTTACAAGAATGTCCTCTTCTAAAACACTCTAAGGGAGGTAAGCCTAAAATTAATACCTCAATTCTAAAAACACTACCCTCTTCCTCCTCTCATCAGTTTGCTGTACCTCTAATTTTACAGTGGGACAAAGAAAGAATCAAGACTGAGGACATTATTGATTCTGGTGCTACGGGGATATTCATAGATTCTTCGTTTGTTGAAGCCAATAAAATTCCTTGTCTGAAAAAAGCATCTTTTGTCTCCATCAGAGTTATTGATGGATCTGTAATCCCCTCTGGTCCCATAAAAAATGAAACTATTCCTATTTTGACCACTATTAACCCCTTAAGGACACATGACATGTCTGACATGTCATGATTCCATTTTATTACAGAAGCTTGGTACTTAAGGGGTTAATAATAACCATTCAGAATTTCTTGTTTTCGATATTATAAGATCCCCCCTTTCACCAATCATCTTAGGAATCAACTGGTTACAAATTCATAATCCCTTCATTCGTTGGGCTCCATTTTCTCTTACCTTTGACTCAGAGTATTGTAAGGACAATTGTCTCCCTCAAATTCCTATATTTCAATTAAGTCACGAAACTCTAATACCAGAACCATATTCGGATTTTTCCGATGTATTTGGTAAGAAAAAAGCTGATGCTCTTTCCAGAATTCCTGTTAATCCTTCTTCAAAAGAGAAAACTTTCTCAATGTTATCAAACAATAAAATAATTGGACTTACAACTACTATATTGGAGGAACTGAAACAATTATCTCTCAAAGAACTTGAACTACCTTCTACTCCTAAATTGTTCAAAAAAGATGGAATCTTTTATTTCAAAAACAGAATTTATATTCCTCCAAAACTCAGACATAACCTTTTAAAATTAATTCATGATTCTCCCCTTGCTGGACATCCCGGGATAAAAAAGACAATTGAACTCTCTACTAGACAATATTGTGTAAAGTCTTGTCCAGTTTGTCAAAAATCCAAAGCGGAACATCACCTTCCTTATGGATTATTGACTGGATTACCAGTACCTGGGAGACCTTGGCAATCTATTTCCATGGATTTTATGGTGGAACTCCCTCCTTCTCAGAAATACACCACCATCCTTGTTGTAGTAGACCGTTTCACAAAAATGTCACATTTCATTCCTTTGAAAAAGTTACCCTCATCCTCTGAACTTTCCAAAATTTTTATTGACAATATAATCAAATTACATGGATTCCCTGAAGAAATAATCTCAGACAGAGGTTCTCAATTTACTTCACGTTTTTGGAAGGAAATGTGTTCTTCACTTCAAATCCAACGTAAACTTTCTTCAGCATACCATCCGCAAACAAATGGCCAAACAGAACGAGTCAATCAATGTCTGGAACAATACCTTCGTTGTTACTGTACGTATTTACAAGATGATTGGAGTAATTGGTTACCCATGGCTGAATTTGCCTATAATAATTCCATACATTCAAGCAGCAAAATGACTCCATTCTTTTCACATTATGGATTCCATCCCTCCTTGTTTCCTGATGATCCCAAGACAACTTCGAATCCAATGGTTTCTATTCAAAATATGGAAATGTCCTCATTGTTTAATCAATTAAAGAAAAACCTTGAAAGTTCTATGATCTTACATAAACAGAATTATGGCATTAAAAGGAGACTGCCTCCTAAATATAAAATTGGTGACACTGTTTGGCTATCTTCAAAAAATATTTCTACTAACCATCCTTCTGAGAAACTTAGTGCTATTTTCCTTGGACCTTTTCAAATTGAATCCATTATTAATGAAAATGTTGTGAAATTGAAACTTCCTCCTTCACTTAAACTTCATCCTGTTTTTCATGTTTCCCTTCTCAAGTCTTTTCTCCCAGATCCCTTCCATAGGGAACAATTGTCAAAGCCTGACCCCATTGAAGTTCAAGGTGAATTGGAATATGAAATAGAGAGAATTCTTGACTCCAGACTTCATAGAGGTAGCTTACAATACCTTATTAGATGGAAGGGTTATGGAGATGAAGATAACACCTGGGAGAATTCCTCTGAAATTCATGCAAAGACGTTGATTACTGCTTTTCACAAAAGGTACACTCAGAAACCGAGGTAACAGCACCCGGAGTGTGCTCCTTAGGTGGGGGGTCCTGTCATGCGCGATCTCTTCCGGGTTCGGCACTTCCGCATTGCGGAGCCGGCCCCGCCCCCTTCTAACGCGGCTATGACAGTACTTAGGGAGACCGCGCCAGGGAAAAGGTGCTTGGTGATTGTGAGACCTACTTCCAGGTATACACGCCGGCTCCACAAGCTCTGACAAGCCGTCCCAGCCTTTGAGCCAATGCAACGATTGCTGCAAACCATAGAGGATTACTGGAGAACGGATACTTTGCTAATTTACAAGTGGACTATAACTCTGAACTCTTGGAGGACAATTCACCTTAACCTTAAGTATATCTTTCAACTATTGTCTGCAATATCATTTATTAATGAACCAATTCCTGCTTGCTCAAATCTTCTCTGCTTCAAGTTACTAATTATATGGAGGACAACTCCCATCAACTGTTTCTTGCTTTGCAAATACTCTCTGCTACCTGCTTAATGTTTCTATTGAAGATTATTCCCAGCAACCTAAAGAATCTTATTAAAAAAACTTCTCTGAGGAAATTCTTATTAATGAACTTTGTATTGTTTGATAACCTGCACTTTCTTCTTATTGGATTATTGCCTATATGCAATTCATGTAAGTTTATCAATCATTAAAACTTTGTTTGATTCTCAAATTGCCAGCAATCCTCTCTTTTCTTAAAGCTACAGTATTGATACTTTAAAGATTCTTCGTTTCTTTACTATTGTAATTAAGGAGTTCTACAAGCTGCAGTTGAGTTCCAGTCCAAATAACGCAGGTAGCATAACACTCACACACACAGCACCCTTACACATACACACACAGCACACACTAACAGCACCCTCACACACAGCACCCTTACATATACACACACACAGAATACACTAACAGCTCCCTTATACACACAGCACCCTCACACATACACACACAGCACACACTAACAGCACCCTCACACATATACACACACAGCACACACTAACAACACCCTCAGACACACACACACACACAGTACCCTTACACAGCACACACTAACAGCACCCTCACACACAGCACCTTTGGACATACACACACACAGCAAACACTAACAGCACCCTTACACACACAGCACCCTTACACACACAGCACCCTTACACACACACACACACACACTAACAGCACCCTTATAGACACACAGCACCCTCACACACAGCACCTTTACACATACACACACTAACAGTGCCCTCACACACACACAGCACCCTCACACACACTCACACAGTGCCCTCACATACACACAGCACCCTAACACACACACACAATACCCTTACACTCACACAGCGCCCCCACACACAGCAGTGTGTGTGTGTATATATATATATATATATATATATACACATATATATACGCGGCATATGTGTTTGTGCTTTAGGGTGCACACCCTTATGCAATAGGCTGCGCACGCCTATGCTTGCCATCATTCACTCCCAGGCAGCAGCATTGTTGGCTGGATCTGAAAAAGTCATGACTCTACCGTTTCTACTTTTGTTGAATATTTCTCTTCACCTATCTCCAAGCTTATAATAAGGAAATGTGGAATGAATGATCTCCCAACAAATGGAACTTAACCCTGACCCTAGTCTCTGGCCTTGTTGACACATGTACGGTACATGAGCAAGATAGGAATGCAAGGACGGCAGGGAGTGGAGTAAATACAGAGACAGATATATTTAAGAGCAGGGTGTTTTAACTTGGGAAATAAGTAAATGCTGCTATGCTCTCTTACTCATTCACTCTTCACGCTGCCACAAAGGGTGGAACACGGATGGGTAGTTGGCACTCCAGTTGCCAGGCCTTTTCCATCAAGATAGAAAGTCAGAACAGATGTATAGAAATTGTGATTTCTGCTTTGGAGTGTGGATGAGAGCATGTTGCATTGGACATTTTTTACACTGCTACTTTTTGAATATTGTGTTGACAACTCAAAGCTTTATCACCACTACCAGGATTAGTCTGTTATCAGATAACAAGTCTATTATGGGAATATGAGGACTGATTTTGGCTGGGACCCAGACCGATTCACATGATGTGGTCTATCCCTTTATCATACTAGGGATCACTGCATTGACTCATGTCCATAAAAGCTGTTCGATCAGCAGGCATTTCTTTGATTAATTCTCTTCCCAAGGGGTAAGCCACTTACCTACCGACTGTAGGACAAACACCTACTGCAAGGGGAGAACAAAAGCATTGTATTCAATGTAGCAGTTAAACGTTTGCAGTAGTACTAATCTGTAATATACACAAAAGAGTTCAAAAGCAAATATAAAACATTCAAAAACATTACACACAGAAAAAAAATAAAAAATTTCTGACCAAGTTTCCATAAGTACAAGAAGTTTAATTCCAATTACCACAAATTGTAGACTTCAAATACTAGGGGATTAAAAGAGGCTTTTTAAAAGGGCCATTCTAAGCGTCTTAACCAGTACAGTGTGCATTAGTGGCACCACCCTATACAATCATATAATTTACAAAAGGTAAATACACTTACCTTGCTCTGTTCTGTCTGCAGGCTGCTTCCGATCTATGCCATTACGCAAAAGCAGAACTAACAAACATTCACATTATCAAATCAGCTTGTGCTAAGTTTAAACATTATTCATTGATTGACAGCTGTCAGGTGTCAGTTAATTGTTGGAAGGTGCAGGGCCTCCACACTGTACACTGTAATGGTTAAATGATGCTTAAAGGGACACTATAAGCAGCTAAACAACTTTCGCTTAATGGAGTTGTTTTGGTGTCTATATCATGCACCTACAGCATAAAATCTTAATTATCTGCCATTTGGGAGTTAAATTACTTTGTATGGGTCACGTGCAGGGGAGGTGTGGCTGCATAAAGTCACACTACACATTTCCTGTAAAGAGATGTAATGTTTAAACTTCCTTTATTGCACAGTCTGTTTAACTTAGATTTATTTTTAGCCACCTGTGTGTGATTAAAGTTCAGTTAATAGAACAGGAGATAGAAACTTAAAGGAATACAATGCAAAGTTGTATTCCTGGCACTATAGCTCCCTCTGCCTCCTCACTCTTTCACACCCCCACCGACGTGAATAAAGGATTAAAAACCCATTATTTACTTACCTTACCCAAGCACTGATGTCTCTCAGCGCTAAGTCGAGGCTGCGCCTCCACAAGCATCCCGCACACGCACATGCAGAACGTGTGGACGTCCAGCAGTTACCAGACCAAAGGTACTTTAGCCACTGGAGGGACTTCCTGGATCCTGTCTGGAGACTTAGTGCTGCAGTGTAAACATTTTCTCTGGAACTGCAATGTTTAACATTGCAGCACTAAGTGCAATAGGGACACTGGACTCAAACCACTTCAATGAGCTGAAGTGGTCTGGGCAGGGGCGGACTGACCGGTCGGGCACTTCGGACAAGGTCCGAGGGCCCGGCCGGGAGGGGGGCCCGCCGCCAGGGCCGCCTTCAGGGGGCCCGGCGGCAGGGCTGGATTGGGGGCGGCATTTGGGGACTGCAGGTGCCACCGGGTGGCCGGTCCGGTGGCACACTGTGAGGGGGGGGCTGGCCGTTTGATGCTGCAGCCGCCGGACCGGGTGGCAGCCTCGCCGGTCCGGCGGCATTCCGCTCACTAACACAGAAGGAGGAGGAGCATGTGTCTGTCATGCTCCTTTGCGGTTCCCACATCCTGTGCTGGGAATTGTGGGAGCCGCAGGGAGCATGACAGACACATGCTCCTCCTCCTTCAGTGTTAGTCAGAGGAATGCCGCCGGACCGGCGAGGCTGCCACCCGGTCAGCACTGTAGCCTCAGCAACAGACAGTAAGAGGATAGAAGATAGAAGAGAACAGAGATAGGGGAGAGGAAAAGATATAGAGGGAGAGGAGGAAAAAGAATATAGGAGGGAGAAAAGTGGGAACAGAATATAGGGAGAAAAGATATAGGAGGGGAGAAAAGAGAAAAAAAAGAATATATATAGGAGAGGAGGAACAAGGAATATAGAGAGGGAGGAACAGAATGGGGAGAGGGAGAAAGAGGGAACAAGAATAGGGAGGGAGAAAAGAGGGGGGAACAGAGATATAGGGAGAGGGAGAAAAGAGGGAACAGAGATATGGAAAGAGGGGGGAACAGAGATATGGGGAGGGGGGAGACAGACAGAGAGGGAAGAATGAGACACTGGGAGAAACGGGGAATAGAGAGATAGGGAGGGGGAGAAAGAGACACAGGGGGAGAAAGAGATGGGGAGGGGGAGAAAGAGACAGAGAGGAAGAGAGATGTGGGGGAGAGAGAGACAGGGAAAGGGGGGAGAAAAACAGTGGAAGAGAGGGAGAAAGAGGCAGAGGGGTAAGAGAGACTGGGAAGGAGGGGGGAGAAAGAAACATACAGAGGGACGGGGGGAGACAAAAAGGCACACAGAAGGGCTGTATATATCACTGGTGGATCCAGGGGGGCAACAGGGCAATTGCTCCCCCTCCCCTGTCCGCAGGCACCGTGCGGGCAGGGGAGGAAGGAAGAGAGGACCTGGGAGCTCACCCTGCAGCTCCTCTGGGTCCTTCTTGCACGAGCACAGAGCGTTGCCGCGATTACCATGGCAACGTTACCGCTCTTGCGAGAGTCAACTCTAGCCCTGGAGCTACGGTCTAGTGTTCACTCTCAACACTGTGACCCCCAGGGATTCCTGGTGGTCGCAGTGGTGAGAGTGAACTCTAGCCCCATAAACAGACTGCCCCCACACACACACCATACACATTCACACACTGCCCCCAAACACACCATACACATTTACACACATTGCCTCACACACACACATACACTGCCCACCCATATACACATAGACCCCCATACACAGCCCCCCATACTAGCATTGCCACACACGTACACAGCCCACACACCCTACACATTCACACACTATACCCCCCACACACACTGAACCTTTCACACACATTGCACCACTGCTCCTATTCCCTACTACAGCCCCATATCCCAGCAGATCCCAGGTAAGTTGTCAAACTGTTCTTAAATGGTTTGACTACTTACTCTGGAGCAGTAGTGGTTATTATGCATGGATTATTTCTTTAAATAATCTACAAGTGCCCCAGTAGCCAGCCAGCCAACCCACAGGCTGGCCAGTAGCCAGCCCACAGGCCAGTAGCCAGCCCACAGGCCTACAGCAAACCACAGGCTTACAGCCAGCAAGCCCACAGCCTGCCAGTCGCAGCCAGCAAGCCGCAGCCTGCCAGCCCACAGCCTGCCGGCAGTAGCCAGCAAGCCCACAGCCTGCCAGCTGCAGCAAGCAAGCCCACAGATTGCCAGCCAGCAACAGTAATTAAGGTAAGAGGAGCCAACTTGGCCTAGGTATCAGCGAGCTATGTTGTGTTGCTATATTGTGAATAGGAACCAGAGTGTTGGAGAGACCACCCTCCAGGCCCCATTAGACTCCATTGTAGTCTCTAATGGGGCCTGGAGGAGATTCTTTCTAACACACTCTCTTAAGGACACTGAGATAGCCTCTGCTAGAAATCCCCTCCATGGCCCATTAGCCCTCAATTGTAGTCTCTACTGGGGCCTGGAGGCGACTGTTTCCAGCAGGGGATATCTAATGGACGCTGAGATGGCCTCTGTTAGAAAGACCCCCTTCCAAGCCTATTAGACTCCATTGTAGTCTCTAATGGGGCCTTGGAGGGGATTCTTTCTAACACACTCTCTAAAGGACACTGAGATAGCCTCCGCTAGAAAGACCCCCCTCCATGGCCCATTAGCCCTCAATTGTAGTCTCTACTGGGGCCTCGAAGGGCTTATTGCCCTTTTGTTCCTTGTGTCTAAAGATTGTGTAGGGTGTGGCTGGAGGCGGTGCATGGAGGCGGGACAAGGGTGGCGCTTGCTGCAGAGTATGGGTGGGGCCTGTAAGGGGGCCCTTGATTTATTTTGCCCGGGGGCCCTGAGGGTTCTCAGTCCGCCCCTGGGTCTGGGTGCCTATAGTGTCCCTTTAGGTGCTGTCAAATCTAATTGAAAATTAAACTTGTTTTTTTTTTTCATGCAGTCAGTGTGAGTCACAGAAAAAGGAGGTGTGGCTAGGACGGCATAAACAGAAACAAAAGTTATTTAACTCCTAAATAGTAGAGATGTAAGGCTGCAGGGGCACGACCTATGCAATAAAAATGCTCACTAAGCTAAAGTTGTTATGGTGCTTATAGTATGCATTAAGTATGCCTGAAGTATTCATTTAAGACTAGTTTATTGAGCAAAGAATGTACATATATATTGTATAATTTAACAGGAAATATATGTCAAAATATAACACACGTGCTCCCCCAGAGGTAAAAATAAATGAAAATTATTTTACCAGATGTATGATTGTATTTTACCCCTCAGATCTTCTCAATACAAGTATAAAAAATACAATCTACAAAAAAGAATAAACATAGAGAGAATATAGTGTAGTAGATTCAAACACCAAATTGTGCACTAGTAAAATTGCACTCACAAGATGAGAGAGCAGTAAGGACATATAACGATCTTTGAACTTGACGGACAGCTGTAATCTTCTATTTTCACCTAAGAGAGGGAGAGACACACAAACCATAGTGCACAAATATAATAAGAAATAGTAATATTTATTTGATTGCACTCACACAATAATAGTTGTAATCCAGCTTGTCACAATACTTGGGGGATAGTGGTGCCGGCGTCCTTCTTCCCTTAGCGAGTAGTGACAAAACAAACTGAATAAAAACAGTCTATGAACATAAGACAATATAAAGACAAAATAATATAAAATAACAAGGTACTGTCGTGGTCCCTCCGCCCTACGCGTTTCGTCTCAAAACGAGACTTCCTCAGGGAAAAATGAAGGTGTATATTACAGTCTGTTGAGTCCATCTTTTAAAAGGTCGTAAATTCCCGCCTTCTGTATGGCCAATCGGAATGTATCACCTGCGATAGTTTAATGCGTTCCAAGCCTCGTTTTCGGTTTGACCATTCTCAGAGCAACTTCCGGTATCGCGTGGAGCGCAAACATGCGTTCCACGGCCGTAAAAGGAAATGAACGAATCCATACATGAAAAAAGTATTATAAAACAAATAGAGAAATAAATCCATAGGCAAAAAACATCATAGTACTAACATTTTACAAGATAAATACAAGCATAAGTGGTTATTAATATTAATGGGAGATGAGATCAAATACACTAAATTAAGAGGAAATCTTATACGAAAACCTCATATAAAAAATCCTTTTTGAGGTATATATTTTAAAGAATAAAAGATAAAAGATAAAAAGGAAGGGCACATTGGAATGATAATGGTGAGTATAAGAATATAAATATATAAATGTAAAAAACTATTAAATAAAATATTATTAAATAAAAAATTAATTAAAAAATATATTAAAAAATATATATGTAATGGTTCATTTATAAAAAACACACGATATCAAAATCGACATTTAGCCCAATAGGGCTAAAAGTCTTGAGATTAAAAATCCCAAAACCTTCTCTTTGGCGTAATTTCCTAATTAAATCACCTCCTCTATCATCCAATGTAACCTTTTCTAAACCCGTGCACGAAAAAGTATCAAACTTGAAATCAGGACAATTATTACAATGTACTGGTACAGAGTGAGTAATTAAGTGTTTCTTTATATTATTACAATGTTCCATAAATCTAATTTTTAGAGCTCTACTGGTTCTCCCTACATACTGGATGCCACATCCACAAGTTAAAAGATACACTACATTAGTGGTGTTGCAGTTAATATAATCATTTATTTTAAAAAAGTTCTCCTGTTTTATAACTTTTAAAATGTTGTGTTTTTTAGGTAAAAATTTACAACCCTTGCATCTACCAGATTTGTAGAATCCCTTTAGGGATGTGGCTTCTGTTTTCTTTGATTTAAACGTGCTAGGAGCTTTAGGAGCATATATATGCTATAATTTGTAGGTTATTTTACTAGTATTCCAGTTAAGAATATTAAGATGTGCCTGTTGATGTTCTTCCCATTTAAATGATTACTCTAACTCAGGGGCTCCCAATTAATTTTTCCCGTGGAACCCTTTTACATAATGCGCTAACAGCGTGGAACGTCAAAAATGTTTGGGCATACACAAACAAATTAACACACATATAAAAACATTGACACATTATTATTATTTTATTATTTATATAGCGCCAGCAAATTCTGTAGCGCACACGTACACACACTAAAATATATACACAGACACAAAGATATACACCTTGACACACATTAGGGCACACACACACCAATACACACATACTGACATACACTCAGATACACATAGTGACACATACACAAACCTTGGCACACAGATACACACACTCAGAAGCGCATATTGGCACATACAAACACACCAACACACACACTGGCACATATAAACACACTGATACAGACATACTGACATATACACACACTGACACATACACACACACCTTGACACATATACACACACTCAGATACACACATTGACACATGCACAAAACATTACACAGATACGCACATACACACAATGACCCATACAAACATATACAGGGAGTGCAGAATTATTAGGCAAGTTGTATTTTTGAGGATTAATTTTATCATTGAACAACAACCATGTTCTCAATGAACCCAAAAAACTCATTAATATCAAAGCTGAATATTTTTGGAAGTAGTTTTTAGTTTGTTTTTAGTTATAGCTATGTTAGGGGGATATCTGTGTGTGCAGGTGACTATTACTGTGCATAATTATTAGGCAACTTAACAAAAAACAAATATATACCCATTTCAATTATTTATTATTACCAGTGAAACCAATATAACATCTCAACATTCACAAATATACATTTCTGACATTCAAAAACAAAACAAAAACAAATCAGTGACCAATATAGCCACCTTTCTTTGCAAGGACACTCAAAAGCCTGCCATCCATGGATTCTGTCAGTGTTTTGATCTGTTCACCATCAACATTGCGTGCAGCAGCAACCACAGCCTCCCAGACACTGTTCAGAGAGGTGTACTGTTTTCCTTCCTTGTAAATCTCACATTTGATGATGGACCACAGGTTCTCAATGGGGTTCAGATCAGGTGAACAAGGAGGCCATGTCATTAGATTTTTCTTCTTTTATACCCTTTCTTGCCAGCCACGCTGTGGAGTACTTGGACGCGTGTGATGGAGCATTGTCCTGCATGAAAATCATGTTTTTCTTGAAGGATGCAGACTTCTTCCTGTACCACTGCTTGAAGAAGGTGTCTTCCAGGAACTGGCAGTAGGACTGGGAGTTGAGCTTGACTCCATCCTCAACCCGAAAAGGCCCCACAAGCTCATCTTTGATGATACCAGCCCAAACCAGTACTCCACCTCCACCTTGCTGGCGTCTGAGTCGGACTGGAGCTCTCTGCCCTTTACCAATCCAGCCACGGGCCCATCCATCTGGCCCATCAAGACTCACTCTCATTTCATCAGTCCATAAAACCTTAGAAAAATCAGTCTTGAGATAATTCTTGGCCCAGTCTTGACGTTTCAGCTTGTGTGTCTTGTTCAGTGGTGGTCGTCTTTCAGCCTTTCTTACCTTGGCCATGTCTCTGAGTATTGCACACCTTGTGCTTTTGGGCACTCCAGTGATGTTGCAGCTCTGAAATATGGCCAACCTGGTGGCAAGTGGCATCGTGGCAGCTGCACGCTTGACTTTTCTCAGTTCATGGGCAGTTATTTTGCGCCTTGGTTTTTCCACACGCTTCTTGCGACCCTGTTGACTATTTTGAATGAAACGCTTGATTGTTCGATGATCACGCTTCAGAAGCTTTGCAATTTTAAGAGTGCTGCATCCCTCTGCAAGATATCTCACTATTTTTGACTTTTCTGAGCCTGTCAAGTCCTTCTTTTGACCCATTTTGCCAAAGGAAAGGAAGTTGCCTAATAATTATGCACACATGATATAGGGTGTTGATGTCATTAGACCACACCCCTTCTCATTACAGAGATGCACATCACCTAATATGCTTAATTGGTAGTAGGCTTTCGAGCCTATACAGCTTGGAGTAAGACAACATGCATAAAGAGGATGATGTGGTCAAAATACTCATTTGCCTAATAATTCTGCACTCCCTGTACACACGCCTTGACATACAGATACACACTCAGATGCACACATTGACACATGCACAAAACATTACACAGATACGCACATACACACAATGACCCATACAAACACATACACACACCTTGACACACAAATACACACATACTCAGATACACACAGTGAAACATACACACAGTTGCACCCACAGATACACACACTGGCACATACACACATTATTATTATTGGTATTTATATAGCGCCAGCTTATTCCGCAGCGCTTTACAATAAAAGGGGAATTTACCAAATGATGTAACAGGAACAATAGGTAGTTAAGGACCCTGCTCAAACAAGCTTACTGTCTAGAGCTGTGTTTCCCAATTGGGTTTCCGCCAAAATGTCTAAAAACAAAATTGCCGCGGGCGGCGAGGGAGCAGTGATCTCTCTGCTCAGCTCCATCGCGTGTACAGCAGTGATGCTGGAGCCGGAATATGATGTCAGTCTGGCTCCAGCATCACTAAGAGGCACGTGAGGGAGCTGAGCAGGGAGATCACTGCTCCCTCGCCACCCACACACCAGCCCCACTGGACCCCAGGGACCGCTCGCCAGCCACTCAGCAGCCCCACTGGACCCCAGGTACCGCATGTTCAGCCCACCAGCCCCACTGGACCACAGGGTGGAGTAAAATAAAAAAAATAAAAAAAATTGTATGTGTATCTGTTAGGGAGCTTGTATGTGTTTGTGTATCTGTCAAAGAGTATATGTGTGTTTGCCAGAGACAATGTATGTATGCTTGTCAGTGAGAATGTATTTGTGCTTGGCAGTGAGTGTATGTGTTTGTATGTGTCTGTAAAAGAGTGTGTGTATCTGTCAAAGAGTATGTGTGTCGGTGTGTGTGTATATCTGTGTGTCCATGTTTGTGTATGTGTCACCGTGTGTATCCGAGTATGTGTGTAGGTCAGTATGTTTGTGTGTATGTGCCAGTGTATATAAGTGTGTTTGTATGTGCCTATATGTGTGTGTGTGTATGTCAGTGTGTGTGTGTATCTGAGTTAGTCAGTGTGTGCATATGACACTGTGTGTATGTGTCAATGTGTGTATCTGTGGGTGCAAGTGTGTGTAAGTGTCACTGTGTGTATCTGAGTGTGTGTGTATTTGTGAGTCAAGATCTGTGTGTCTGTGTGTTTGAGTGTGTGTATCTGTGTGTCAAGGTTAATGTGTCTGTGTGCCACTGTGTGTATCTGTGTGTCAGATACATATACACAGAATGACATAGATACACACACTTTGATACATAGATACACACACCTTGACACACAAATACATACACGCACACACACACAGATAGACACTGTGTGTGTGTATTTGTGTGCCACTATGTGCGTTTGTGCGTATCTGTGTGTCAGATTCATACACACTGGCACATACAAACACAGATACACACATTGACATACAGATACACCGGCCTTAGGGGTGTGCGACCTGTGCGGCCACACATGGCACCATAGACCAGGGGGCACCCTGCGGCCGACACAGCTCACACATGGCCGGCCAGAAATTTAAAATAAATAAATAATAATAATAAAAAAATAATAATTTGCGGCTAATAGCGCCAGATAACTGCTGCAGGGGAAGCAGGAAGGAGTCCCTGCTTCCCCACCAAACAGTCTCCAGGAGCTGTACTGCCTCCACAATGAACTCCACAGGTAACTGTGTGATTGTCAATGTGAGTGTGACTGTCTGCCTGTGTGTGTGACTGTCTGCCTGAGTGTGTGTGTGTGTGTGTATGACTGTCTGCCTGTGTATGTGTGTGTCTGTGTGTATGACTGTGTGTGTGTGTATATCTGCCTGTGTGTGTGTGTATGACTGCCTGTGTGTATGTCTGCCTGTGTGTGTGTATGACTGCCTGTGTGTGTGTCTCTGACTGTGTGTGTGTATGACTGTCTGCGTGTGTGTGTGTGTATGACTGCCTGTGTGTGTCTGTGTGTATGACTATCTGCCTGTGTGTGTGTGTGTGTGTATGACTGTCTGTGTGTATGACTGTCTGCTTGTGTGTGTGACTCATCCTGTGTGTATGACTGCCTGTGTGTGTGACTGTCTGCCTGTGTCTGTGTGTGCATGACTGCCCGTGTGTGTGTGTCTGTGTGTATGACTGTCTGCCTGTGTGTGTGTATGACTGTCTGCCTGTGTGTCTGTGTGTGTGTATGACTGTCTGCTTGTGTGTGTCTGTCTGCCTGTGTGTGTATAACTGTCTGCCTGTGTGTGTGTGGCTGTCTGTGTGTGTGTGGCTGTCTGCATGTAAGTATGTGTGTGTGTAAGACTGTATGTGTGGCTGTGTGTGTGTGTGTGTGTCGGCCTGTAATTCTGTGTGAGTGTGTTTATCTACCTGTAACTGTGTATGTGTGTTACTGCCTGTAACGGCACCCCCAGGCATAAAACGGTTAAACCGCCATTTAGAAGATCTTCCCCTTCCAGAGACACAGGCAGCTACTGTAGACACCATTCCACCGAACCGGAGAAGCATATGAATGCTCTCAAACATACAAATGCTGTAAACAGCCGAATAGGAAAAACCATACGAATAGGTTTACACTCCTAGCAGTCGAACTGGAACAGCATACAATAAATCCCCCCAAGAACGAGACAGGGCTCCGTTTTGGGGGTCAAGCAGGAACAGACAGAGCTGTGGGTTTATTATTCTTATATACACATTCTTACACATTAGTACCACCCACAGGGTTTTGTAAAACAACCAATAAACACGTACAATACACTCAGACACTCCCACACAAAAGCCTCCCCTCTACCTGTGATACAAATTACCTTACACAATGGGTAATGAAATTATCACAGTCAAAGAAATACAGTTTTTCCACATTATTCATAACTTTAAAAGTATGCATCACATTGACATACATTTTCAGAATCAGCATACTTCAAATACAAACATATGTCAAAAATTGGTCCAGTGGGTCAAAAGTTAGATCAAAGTCCTTTGTGACCAAATGAAGCATGGCTTTTCTGCCCAAAACCAGTTCCACAGAGATAATCCAATTATCTCCAAGGACAGAGGCAAAACTCTGTTAGCCACATGGTAGCAAAAGACAATAAAATACATAAAAATATATAACTGTGCAGCTTTTGCATAAAACAGGTACATTCAACATATCCCCAGATAGCTTAGATCTGAGTGCACATTATTACTGAATGGCGCTCAGATCACATACATACATTTCAATTGCCATGGAGTCAAAGTATTTCGTTATACGAATGGGTTCCAATGCATAGCTATCTGGGGTATCACTGTTCAAATAGGGCAAGTACCGAATGACCCGGCTTTCGTGTCTTTGCAGGGGAAAATCAAGCGTTTCAACATGGGGCCATAGTCTAAAGGCAGCAGGTGGGCAACCAGGCTCCTCCAATGCACAGTGGCGAGATTGGTCTCGTCACACTGCCTGTACCTGTGTGTTTCTGCCTGGTCCTGTGTATGTGACTATCTGCCTGCGACTGTGTGCATGTGGTGGATTTGACAGTGTATATGTATAACTGTGGGCATCTGACTGTGTGCACATAACTCTGCAAAAATATACACCTGCATTCACACACAGGCCTAAATGCATGTTTTTATCTGAATTAAATAACCATCACACACAGCCAATAAACCCAGCACAAATATCACATACAACCAATACACGCATATCACACACTGTTAATACACCCATTACAAATATCACACACAGCCAACACATGGCATACATATCACACACACTCATCACACCTACTATCACATACACAGACAACACAAATATTACATCAAACATGGATGAAGGGGGGAGGGGAGGGCTGTGGAGATTTTTCACACAGGGCGCCTAAAGGCCTAAGGCCGGCCCTGTGTGTGTCTGTGACAGTGTGTGTATGTGTGTGTTAGATACATACACACAGATACACATTGACACACAGATACACTCTGATACATACAAACACAGTTACACACACCTTAACACACAGACACAGACCGGCACATACAAAAAAAAAACGGAGCAATTTCGTTTTCTTTCATTGTGGGTTTCCACAATGTTGATACACTATGTCAAAGGGTTCCACTGGAAAAATTAATTGGGAACCCCTGGTCTAGAGATTCAAAACTCTCTGGTCACAGGCTAATTTACACAAATCAGACCATTATAAACCTCCCCCCTCTTCCTCTCTGCAGCTTATTCCTCCCACCTCTCCATTTTCCCTTTTTTCCATTTATGTACATATTTGTAAATACCCCTTGACACACAGATACACACACACACTCAGTCATATACACACTGACACACATAGGCACATGAAAACACACTGATATACACTGGCACATACACAGATAAACTATAGAAACAAGCAGGATGGTCAAAAAATAATAAAATGGAAATATTATTATATATACGGGCAGCTTCACACAGTGTATGAGCGACTAATATGAATAGACAATAAAAGCATAAATATGGTGTGAGCGCTCCTAACAATAAGATGATGTATATTAAATCATAAAAAACATTTAATAATGAAATATCAACAATAATTAATAGATAAAATAAATTCCCAATAGCAACAAAAATAGAGTATTATTTCATCACTTATTGCCTAAAAAAGCAGTTCCAAGAAGATAACGATAAATATAACCAAATGTGACAATTAGCAATGTTCAGGGTAACAGAACCCTGAACGCAACAGAACTTACAAAGCAACAGAGTAATATATTGTACCACATAAATGGAAACAGACACGCTCAAAAATATATAGGCACACTCCAAGGTCTAATGCCATGAAAAAACAACTAAAGCTGGAATGTGACAGATATAAAGAATTAGAGTAGAGCTTGCAAACACCACCTGTTTGATGTCCCTGCTGCTTGGTACAGGTACCAGGGGTTGAGCTCGCTGGGCATCTTTCCACTAATTACTCCTTTTATATTATACAACATCTTTCTTCTCGTCCTATTTACGTGTCACAGCATGAGCTGCTGCAGGGAGGGGGGCCACCGGCTGGAGTTATAATCGACTTTTATTTGTTAGCCCTATCCGTTACCTTTTACCATTGTCCTGCATATATTTTGTGATTGTTTCTTTGCATATTGCTATTTTTATCTCTTTGTCTCTACCTGCTCTCCTATTGTTCACATCCATTTTCTTTCCGTCATTCTTTAAGGGTGTCTCTTCACCCACCTCTTATGCTGATTTTATATATTGAGATCGAGGTTTAGTGTTTGCACGCTCTACTCTAATTCTTTATATCTGTCACATTCCAGCTTTAGTTGTTTTTTCATGGCATTAGACCTTGGAGTGTGCCTATATATATATATTTTTGAGCGTGTCTGTTTCCATTTATGTGGTACAATATATTACTTTGTTGCTTTGTAAGTTCTATTGCGTTCAGGGCTTTATTACCCTGAACATTGCTAATTGTCACATTTGGATATATTTATCGTTATCTTCTTGGAACTGCTTTTTCAGGAGATAACTGATGATCTATTACTCAATTTTGTTACTATTGGGAATTTATTTTATCTATTATTGTTGATATTTCATTATTAAATGTTTTTTATGATTTGATATACATCATCTTATTATTAGGAGCGCTCACACCATATTTATGCACATACACAGATACACACAGGCACACACAATCTGACATACATCAGAGCCACTCTCCTGTTAGCTAACTTGTGGTCCTGGTGCTGTTGGTTGAGGCTGATGGGAGTGAGCTGTTGCATGATCACTCCAGCCTCTCCTCTGACATGCATGGTGCTCCCTCTCCAGTCCCCTCCTCCCACAGAGTTACTACATGGCAGCAACTCTGTGAAGCTGGGAGGAAGTGCTGTCACTTCCTCCCAGCCAGCCGATACTACAGGGGCCCAGTCATGCTCATAAAGGGCCGCATCACCCGACCAGGCCTCTGTTAAGCGATCAAATCGCGGCGGCCATTTTGTTGGGCAAAATTACGTTGAAACCCTATTTGTGTTCTCACCAATTGGGAAATGCTGCTCTAACTCTTTCAAACACCTTATTTTACTTTATCAATAGGTCACTTACCCCTGTAATATCTGAATATGGGCAAAACTTACTTGAAATCCAGTGACAAGCAAAGCTCCTAGCGCTGATCTCATCACGCCTGCCCTCTCAGAGAAGCCTGTGACTGATCTGTTTTGCATGCTCAGAGCACATGTGCATGCTCTGAGACACCAAGGCGAGAGAGGGAGGAAGTTGGTGGGAGGAGGAGAAAAGAACAATTAAAACAAATAAAAAACTAGCCCCCAGCCCAAAAGTTAATTTATCTCAGTATACCTTCAAGTAACCCTTTAAACTTTTTTTTTTTAAACTTGTCCAGTCCAGTGCCTTTAAACACCACTTTGCACTACAAGATTTCAAGTCAACATTAAAGTCAGTTTTCATGAACTTGTAATTCCATCTCATTAGCATAACTTGAAACCTGCTTGGTTTGCCAGAGGGTCCAAGTTTCTGTGCCAGATCTCCGGAGAGCAGTTCATCCAGTTGTGATCACTTTAGCATGTCAGGACTAACCTATTTGGGTCAAACACTCTCTTTTGCTATTTTATGACAATACACTAAATCCCTGTATAAAGGATAGGAGTGTGGAGATTTGCACACTGGCTTGCTCACATTATACAAAAGTGCCAGTGTGCATAACTTATGGTCTAAAAATGACAGTTTTTTTTATGTATGAGAACGTATATAATGGATAGTGGGAAAAAAAAAAAACACCTTTGTATTTATACACAACAGTATGACTAAATCTCAAATAGTTTTGAAATTGTGTTAAAAAAAAAATGTGTGTGTATATATATATATATATATATATGTATATACACACACACACACACACTAAATTGGTTTAGAGCAGTGGTTCCCAACCCAGTCCTCAACTACCCTCTAACAGTCCAGGATTTAGGGATTACCCATTTGCGTCCATGGTGTTTTTAGAAGGAAAAAAATAAAAAATAAAAACACTTTAGACACAACAGGATAATTCCTAAATCCTGGACTGGTAGACAGTACTTGAGGACTGTGTTGGGAACCCTTGGTTTAGAGGATTGAATTGTAAATGTAGGATTCAGATTGTGGCAAAACTAGCCACCAAAGACTATGTATGAAGATGCATGTATGGCTGCTAAATTGTAAAGAAACCAATGCTATTTGTATTTTAGGCGAATGAGGGCATTCGTATGCTGGCGGTAGGAAAACCCCAGCATTTCTAATGAAGTTTCACGAACGGGGAGTTAAAACCCTGTTCGTGGAACGAATAACCTACCAAACGCACGACCACACACAGGGGGTCGTGTGGCACCAATTAACCGATTGCAACAACGTTGCAATCGGTAATTAAGAGTGTTTCTAGGTGGCCGTCGTTCGAATACCGACCACGCGGCGGTCGACCATCTTGTTTCTTTTGTTAGCCCAGCGGTGATTTGTCATCGAGCGCCTGGAACTAAAAACGGCTACTCGACGGCACGAACACCGCTGGACTTCCAGGCCGTTCGGGAACCTCGGCCGTTCGGTAGTTCATTCCCTTTATGATAATCTGTATTTTTAAACCTATGTTGAAATTATGTGTATTTCGTACGGCGTTCGGTTACTTAGACTGGGAGCTGAGCGGTAAACTCCCGAACGATGCGCTCAGCCTCCAGCTATCTACCGAACGTCGGTTCGTGTAAAACTAATGAATAATGTAAAAGTTATGTATTTTAATGTAAAAAGTGAGTTCTGCTGCACGGAGGGATAATCCCATTAACGGTATATTCCAGTGGGAGTATCCCTCTCGTCCAGCAGTGTATGATGGGAAAATTGTGTGTGTTGGGCAGTTCCCCATGTAGTCCCCTACTGTACAACCCCTGAAATGTCAGTAGGGAAACCCCTTGCATGGGGAATCCCATAAATACCGTGACCTGCCATTAAACCTCAGTTGACCTCCAAGCTATGTGTCGTCTAGTTCTTGGGAGGAAGGGATTGTAACTACGCTACCTGGATTTTACCTGCTTTGTGCCTGTTTGTTCCTGTCTACTAGCGGAGATACCGTGGATAATACTACTGCTCCGCTACACAGATTTATATACAGTTTTGTGGGGGGTTTTTTGTTTTGTTTTTTTAAATTCTGCGTGCAGGGTGACGCTTACAAAACATTTTAGAATGTTTTAAATCATAGCTCCTGTGGTGGTTAAAAAATAAGATTTAATAAAATTACATTGGACATAGCATATAATTAAATCAGTTAAGAAAAAAAGATCAAATCCTTTCCTCTCCAAAATTTCTTTAAAATGTATTGAATAAGGGAGAACCTGTAGTATTTTGACCTACAGAAGTATAATTCACTGAACATCTACAGTTCTAGTTAGCCATTCATGGTTTATAAGTTAAAGGGACACTAAAGTCACCAGAACAACTATAGTGTATTGTATTTGTTCTGGTGAGTAGAATCATTCCCTTTTTGCAGTAAACACCGTCTTTTCAGAAAACCATAGAATGTGACGGCAGTTAAGAACCATTCGGCCCATCTAGTCTGCCCAATTTTCTAAATACTTTCATTACTCCCTAGTCTTATCTTATAGTTAGGATAGCCTTATGCCTATCCCACGCATGCTTAAACTCCTTTACTGTGTTAACCTCTACCACTTCAGCTGGAAGGCTATTCCATGCATCCACTACCCTCTCAGTAAAGTAATACTTCCTGATATTATTTTTAAACCTTTGTCCCTCTAATTTAAGACTATGTCCTCTTGTTGTGGTAGATTTTCTTCTTTTAAATATAGTCTCCTCCTTTACTGTGTTGATTCCCTTTATATATTTAAATGTTTCTATCATATCCCCCCTGTCTCGTCTTTCCTCCAAGCTATACATGTTAAGATCCTTTAACCTTTCCTGGTAAGTTTTATCCCGCAATCCATGAACCAGTTTAGTAGCCCTTCTCTGAACCCTCTCTAAGGTATCAATATCCTTCCGAAGATACGGTCTCCAGTACTGCGTACAATACGCCAAGTGAGGTCTCACCAGTGTTCTGTAAAATGGTATGAGCACTTCCCTCTTTCTACTGCTAATACCTTTCCCTATACAACCAAGCATTCTGCTAGCATTTCCTGCTGCTCCATTACATTGTCTGCCTACCTTTAAATCATCAGAAAAAATCACCCCTAAATCCCTTTCCTCATATGTTGAGGTTAGGACTCTATCAAATATTCTGTACTCTGCCCTTGGGCTTTTACATCCAAGATGCATTATCTTGCACTTATCCACATTAAATGTCAGTTGCCACAATTCTGACCATTTTTCTAGTTTACCTAAATCATTTGTCATTTGGCTTATCCCTCCTGGAACATCAACCCTGTTACATATCTTAGTATCATCAGCAAAAAGACATACCTTGCCATCAAGACCTTCTGCAATATCACTAATAAAAATATTAAAGAGAATGGGTCCAAGTACAGATCCCTGAGGTACCCCACTGGTGACAAGTCCAAGCTTCGAATATATTCCATTAACTACAACCCTCTGTTGCCTGTCCCTCAGCCACTGCCTTACCCATTCAACAATATTGGAATCCAAACTTAAAGATTGCCGTTTATTGATAAGCTTTCTGTGTGCAACAGTGTCAAAAGCCTTACTGAAATCTAGGTAAGCAATGTCTACTGCACCACCCTGATCTATAATTTTAGTTACCCAATCAAATAAATCAATAAGATTAGTTTGGCATGATCTCCCTGGAGTAAACCCATGTTGTCTCTGATCTTGAAATCCATGTGTTTTTAGATGTTCAAGAATCCTATCCTTTAACATGGTTTCCATCACTTTCCCCACTACTGAAGTAAGGCTTACTGGCCTATAGTTGCCCAACTCCTCCCTATTACCTTTCTTGTGAATGGGCACAACATTCACTAACTTCCAATCTTCTGGGACTACTCCTGTTAACAATGATTGGTTAAATAAATCTGTTAATGGTTTTGCTAGTACACCACTAAGCTCTTTTAATAGCTTTGGGTGTATTCCATCAGGTCCCATTGACTTATTTGTCTTTACTTTTGACAGTTGAAATAGAACCTCTTCCTCTGTAAACTCACGTGTAATAAATGACTCATTTATCCTTTTTCTCAACTGAGGTCCCTTTCCTTCATTTTCATCTGTAAATACAGAACAAAAATATTCATTGAGGCAGTCAGCTAGACCTTTATCCTCTTCTACATACCTTCCTTCTTTTGTTTTTAATCTAACTAATCCTTGTTTTACTTTTCTTTTCTCATTTATGTATCTAAAAAAAAAAAGTTTTGTCCCCCTTATTTACTGACTGTGCTATTTTGGAAGCTCTTATAAATTGCTCAGCCTCTTTCTGCCTAATCTTATAGATCATTCTGTCTTCCTCACTCTGGGTTTTTTTATAATTACTAAATACTAACTTTTTGTTTTTAACTATTTTGGCCACATCTGCGGAGTACCACAGTGGTTTCTTGAATTTTTTGCTTTTACTGACAAGCCTAATGCAATTTTCTGTTGACTTCAGTAGTGCAACTTTTAAATAATCCTATTTCTCTTGGACTCCATTTAAATTGCTCCAGTCTGATAATGACTCCTCTACACATATTCTAATTGCATATTCTAAATGCATTATTTACATTACAGCCTAGTGATAACTCCACTGGCCACTCCTCAGATGGCTGCTAGAGGTGCTTCACACTGTGCAGTACTGCCATTCAGTGTCTCCAACCTCTGCTTCCAGACACTAAACTTTCCACATAGAGATGCATTGATTCAATGTATCTCTATGAGGAGATGCTGATGGACCAGGGCTGTGTTTGATTTGTGCTGGCTCTGCCCCTGATCTGCCTCCTTGACAGTCTCAGGCAATCCTATGGGGAAGCATTGTGATTGGCTCACAGAATCAGGGGCAAAGGCAGCAGCTGCAGACTTGAATACAAGTCAGATTTTACTATATTTAAAGAGACAAATTGGAACAAGGGGGCTAGATGGCAGTTTTAACACTATAGAGTCAGGAATACATATTTGTAACCCTATAGTGTTTCTTTAAGACAATTCTGTGTGTATTACCAAAAGGGTTATAGGATCCACTTTGCTTTTGAAGCTTTATAATTTTTTTGTTTATGCATCACAGATCCGGTTGCGGTTTTCATTTAGGTACAATGCAGGATATTTATAAAACTATTCGGTTTTAAAAAAATAAATAAAAAAAAAATGCTGCAAAAAAAGGGTCACCATGAGTCACCAACAAAGTATTCCTGCTGGTTTCCATGATCACTGCACCATTTTTTAGTACTTTAGACAGAAAACTTTGATAAACCTTCCACATTGTCGAATTCTGGACTCATTAGAATAGTCCAGAAAACTTGCCTTATTTAGAACATCTGGTATCTGTAATAAATCGAACCATTATATTAACAGTCACATTTTCAATTACAACCTTTTATATCAAGCATGTCAGTCAACACTCTACAGTATAAAATAACACACACAAACCACTTAATTGAACACAACAGATTTATATCAAGTATAAGAAAACATTTATAAATATGTTTATATTTATTAAAAATATATCTGTAAAGATTTCATGCCCTGAAATTGTAGGTTTCTATAACATTAACTCTTAAAATAATGTTTGTTTTTGGTCCTTATTGTATACCGTATGTGTAAAAATGAACTGATTTGAGACAAATTTGTCCTGCTAGGCACTTCATAGATATCTAGTACAGACTGTCTTATATTACCAAAATTAGGTATTAGGGGAAACCGGATGTTTAAACCTAAAGTATATAAAAACTGTGTCTAAAAAAAAAAATATATTTAAGTAAAGATATCCATCGCAAATCAAACCTGCTTTAATAGAGTGTATTGTTGCAAACATTAACTTAATCTTTTAGGACTTCCCATGGGATCCAAAGCAAAGGTAAAGCCTAGAATCTTGTTTTCCTCCTCAAAACCTCCATATGCTGACATCACAATTTACCGGTTTTGCTCCACTTGAGGCATTTTTGCAACTTTTGCTTACAGGAGAAACCGTTCACATCTTTATACAAGGCTGCCTAAGTAGCAGGTATAAAATGCCAGAATTGGGTTTCAGAGGCTTTGTTTCTGCCATAATATCCCGCTAGAAAAATATCAAACCCTTTGAAGCCTTGCCAAACCACTTTCACGAAGTAAGATATTTCCTCTTTTAAATTTGTCTCCACTTTCACGAAGTAAGAGATATTTCCTCTTTAAAATTTGTCTCCATTTGTACAAAATGACATTTCTTGTTCCATATAACATTCCAAAAATGTTGTCATGTATAAACCATCCAACTACTTTCCATAGGCCATCCTAAAACATACTTATATGTTCTAATTTTATTTTACCACATATACCTTTTTATTCATTACTGTTGCTTCAGAACAGCTCTTCCCTACAAGTTAACCTGGGATCCTTTGTGATCCCCACCCCCAATTACTTGCCCATTTGAGAGCAGGAAGGAGACAGTCCCAGACGGTGTGGTAAGTAGGTCCCACGATTGTCATAATATTAGGCTTTGGAGATATAACATTTTTTTTGGAGGGTGGGGAGAGGTGGCAGGGAACGCCTCGTTTTGCCACAAAGCTCCCAGGTTTACCAAACCCCTGTCACATTTCCTAACACTTTCTCCTCTTTAATCATTTTACGTCTTCCTGTTCCCTCTGTATTTTGAAATAGCTGTATTGTGACATACAATGACTTAGCAACTCCCACTGTTTTACATCCTCTTGTTTATTATTTGTTGCACCATGGCTTTTAGCAATCTACTGATATTGCTTAGTGTTCAAAACAAAAAGATTTACCAAAGAGTTGGATAGTTTAGAATGACCCGGTGAAAGAGCTTTCTAAGAAGGCAGTGAGAAGTAGTTCATATAATGGGTATACTTGATGCAAGAGAAAAAGAAACAGAACTTCCGTACGTTTTGATTCAGTGTTTGACAGCCAATCAGAAATGAAATACTAAAATATTAACATGACATAGCTGTAAACATTCCCTTTTGCATCCTGCAGCTCCGTATTTAATTTCCGTTTGCCCTTTGTAAAAAAATATTTTCTACTGTTATTCAATGTAATAAACTATTTGCAATGGGAGATATTAATTATGCCGCTAACTCTTTAACCTTTACGGGTAAAAACTTCTAATTTGTTTGTATCGAAGACAAAAATCTAAGTCAAAAGTAAAGTTGCATCAACAGTTGTAAGTAGTAACAGCTGATACGAATAGTCACGTAAATTCCATATACTAGGTGAATAATTACGTCCACTCTATAACTGCAAATTTGTTCATGCTGGTGCACATTTCCAAACAAGATCATTGTTTAGTCCCATGACTAAACTCTGCAACTCATTTTCTTCTTGATGGTGTATAACAAATGGAGCTACAGATCTCCATAGTAGAGTCCAGACAAAATTCCACTCATCCCGTGTTCAACAGGCTTTTACGTATCGTTTGTGGTATCTTTGGAAAGTGCCCCATGTGCAATCTTCTTGCTCTGAAAAGTCAGGTGCTAATATTACTCTAAATGGAAGAGTCTCGTACCAAATGCCCATTGTCAGCCAATATTCTCCTCTCCGTATTTGTTGACTTAACTGAAGGCGAGTATTTTGACCCCCTGTTGCAGCAGAAGCATAGGATGCGCTTGAAGGTAATCCTCATCTCATTGTCTCGATAGGAGTATACAATAGGATTAATGACAGAGTTTATCTCAGCAAGGAGAAGGAAATATTTCTCAACAGCCAGGACATTACACTGGGTGCATCCAAGACCATCCAAGAGGAGGACAACTTGACCAGGGGTCCAACAAATCACAAAGGCACCTGCGGAAACAGATATAAAAGAGGTTATATATTTAATTTATTCCCAACTTCCACAACTAGCTGTGATATAGTCAGACTTTGACGTCTTGCTGCATCGCCAAAGAAGCAGGTAAGGTGTATTTGCTGGACCACTATGTCAATAGTTCAAGACAAGTAACTCACTGGACAGAAATGGGAAAGTGTTTATACTAGTGTAATTAATATGCAGAGGACAATTTAAAAATATTTTTGCCTAAATAATTAGCTGCATTATTATTTTTTTAAAACACACACTCAGTTTTATATAGTGCTTGGGGGGGGGGTGGGGGGGAGAAAATGACGTTTTGCAGCTTTCTAGTTAACCTTGACTGCTCTGTCCGACCATTCTCATTCTAAAAGATTTCTCTCTTGCTGGTGATGTCACAGCTCCTTGGTCCGTCTGGACCAATATGCACTTGCAGTGTTTGGTTTAACATATCCATCATTACAGAAACCATAGATCATAATGGTGGAGGTCAAGGGTCAGCAATGTGAAACTGCAAAGTGGGCAGATTTGCCTGAAAAAGAGGCAGGTCTGCTTGAAAAGGCAGTTCAACCTGCTGTTACAATCATGCAGGCCAGCCTACCGTTGCCGTTTTTTTAAATATAGTTATAAAGGGGGAGTTTAAAGTTAGAGAGGGTTAACGTCATAGGTAGATTACATATGGATGGGGGGCACTCCAGGATTCTCCAGTGGCAGGAAAACTGGCTCTGTTTTTCTGGCACTTGAGAATCCCTTTAACAATAAATGAGACAATGACAAATTGTTATTTGGAAAAATAGGTTGATGAGGACACTTCTCACTTACAGTAGAGGATTATGATAATTATAGATTAAATGTAGTAATCCTGGTTGTGTCACCAATATAAAAATATATGCAGACAAAATGCCATAAATGAATTTTTAAGGTCAATTACATTTTTCATACAAAATGCTTAGCTATGTAATAGCAAACAGCCTTCTCTGGCCTGCCCATGTATGTCATCATGCTGTGACAAAGTCACTTTTACAGAAAGGTCTGTTTCCAGCTGTACAAACATTTCAGCAATGTAATTCTAATGTGTACATCCAGATGTCTTTGTTTATTACTACCCAACACTCCTGAAATGATCACTGTGGTATTTGCTTTTATTGCCACCAAATATGCATTAAACAGAGCTTTGTCCAGTGCCACTGTCTAAATCAGCTGTATGTGGTGGAACCAACCTCATCACGAAGTACTGGAGAAGCCTGGTTGCTCGCCTGCTCCTTCTGGACTATGGTCCCATGTTAAACGCTGTTCTTTTCCCCTGCTGAAAGGCTTGTTCGTGCCTTTCTGCCTGGGCGTTCGGTAGATTGAATCTACCGAACCAACGCACGAATGGGGGGACCACCTGGGCAAGGAGTGTGCCAGTGATTTACCTCCCAGAAGTTAACCGCAGCTTAAATCGGTGAACGCTGGGTGGCCGCTGTTCGTATAATCGAACACGTGGCAGCGGCCATCTTAAACTCCCGAACGGCCAGCGGTGTTCAGCTCCAGAACTGTGGAACTCAAAGGACATTTAAACTCACGAACACCGCTCAGCCGCCGACCTCCCTTCTCCTGCAATTCATACGGACGCTGTCCGTTCGGTACTTTCCCTATGTGAGCAGTGTTACCCCAGATAGCTATGCCATGGAGCCCATTTGTGTAACAAAAGACTTTGGCTCCATGGCGATTGAACTATATGTATGTGATCTGAGTGCCATTCGTTAATAATGTGCGCTCAGATCTAAGCTTTCTGGGGATATGTTGAATGTATATGTTTTATGTAATATTTGCAACATTGTGTAATTTTATGTCTTTTTGCTAACATGTGGCTAATGGAGTTTTGCCTCTGTCCTTGGATTACTTCCCAATTATATCCAGGATAGAGAGGAGGAGTTGTGATGTAATTGTGGGAGTGTTCAAAGGTGTATGTCTGTAATTGGTTAATGTCCAATATGTATCCCAGTTTTCCACCAGGTCCCCTAGGGGAGTGTCCACCTGGTGGAAGACCTGCATAAATACCGGGCAGGTAGCCCCAGTAAAAGAGATCACTGCTTGACCCTCAAAACGAAGTGTTGTGTCGTTCTTGGGGATTTGATTGTATGCTGTTACAGTTCAACTGCTAGGAGTGTAAACTGTTCGTATGGTTTTTTCCTGTTTGGCTGTTTACAGCATCCGGTTCGGGAGTTGGAGAATTTGTGTGTTTCCTGTTCGGGAGATTGGTGCTTGCAGTAGCTGCCTGTGTATCTGGAAGGGAATATCCTCTTAACGGCTGTTTAACCCCTAGTGTGCTTAACGGCCCATTACACTGTAGTCACAACTTTGCTATTTTAGTCTAAATTGGATTCCAATTTAATATAATTCAGTGTTTAGTCCTATTAGTATATACAGTAGATCAAAAGTATTAACATATTTGATATACATAATCTATACCTTTCAACATTTTAAATAAGCAAAGAGGGACAATTTAATTTTAGGGGTGAGTGTGGCCATGGGCAGAGCTGTTCTGAGAAATTTTAGGTGACTTACGAATAAACATGAATGCAATTAAAACGTAATTTAGCACAACAAGAATGTATCTTATTTACACAGACTGATTTCCCTTGCCCCCCTCTCCTCCCCACTGCAGTCAATAAAGGGGTAAAGGCTTACTTACCGGATCTTCCGGCATCCCGCGACAAGCGGGCCACTAGCGAGTATGCGCAGCGCGCATTAGACCTCTGCATCTGACGCTAGATGTCCTCATGCAGAGCTTGAGAATGTCCAGCGTCAGTTACTTGACCAAATGTCCTTTAGGATCCAGGAAGCGCCACCAGTGGTTGTCTGGGAGACAGATACTGGGGGCAGACTTAGTGAGGCAATGTAAACATTGCAGCACTAAGTGCAATAGGGACACTGCACCCAGACCACTTCAATGGGCTGAAGTGAAGTGGTCATTGAGACTATACTGTCCCTTTAAAGATACATTGCCGAGTATTATTTGCTGGCCTTCCCAAGATTAGTGGCATTTGCCTATATCAATTAATTGATTTTTCCAGAAAACAAATACTAGGGGAGGGGTGGAGAGAGAGACAGGGCAAGTCTCTCTCCGCAGCTACTCTCCTGGTATATGACTAAGTGTTCATTTCAGTCCAAGGCAGCAGATGCCATTTGTTTCTGATGAGTTTAATTCTTCCAATCTTCTTTCAGTCATATACCCGGAGAGAGAATAGCCCTGTCTGTCTTCCCACCCCCACACCTCCCATGGTATTTGTTTTTGGAAAAATAACTCAATTGATATAGGCAGCTGCTGGTCTGCAGGCCAGGAAATACATTTAGGAAACTGTATGTGTTATGCGTTTGTAAATATAATTACAATGCAAATTGCGTGTATGTGTGGGTACGTATGCGTATATATAAATCTATTTATCGGTCTTCTCTGTCTCTCGTGACAATTCTGCTTTAACAAAACCTTTGAAATGGTCTGTGTCTCATTGTCCAAGGGGAAGTTGTAATATTGTTTTCAGCTTAATACAAGGACACTTCTTTATGTACTTCACGAACAGTGAACTTTCCCTTATTGTTAAATTCTTTCCTTATCACGAGAGATTGCAATGAAAACCTCCTTTCTGTGGTCTAAAGAACCATGAGAGGGGGGTAAATGCTTCACAATGGTGCAAGGCAAAGCAGCTTGGCGTGTGAATTATTTATTTTCAAAGAGGCCTCTCCTTTGTCTGCAGTCATACACTCCTAGCAGCATTTCCCTCTTTCTGAAGCATCCTAATCATCTGAAAGGATTAACCCCTTAAAGACAGAACTTCTGGAATAAAAGGGAATCATGACGGAATATTTCCGTCATGTGTCCTTAAGGGGTTAAACATATTCCCTATTGCTTCCTTAGGCTCCACAGCAAGTAAACATTTCTGTCCTATAAGGCAAATTAGCAGGATTGCCTTCATTTTAAAAGGAACACTAGAGTCACCAGAACAACTACAGCTTAATGTTCTGATGACTACAGCTTAGTGTTCTGGTGTCTATTGCTTGTCCCTGCATGCTTTTTAATGTAAACTAATGTAACTAATGTTTAATGTAAATTTTAGAAAAAAAGGCAGTGTTCACATTAAGGATCGACCGATATTGATTTTTTTAGAGCAGATACCGATAATCCGTGAACTTTCATGCAGACAGCCGATAACTTACCGATACTCTCTGTACATTTACCATTTGCAAATTTTTTTATTAAGTGATAAATGTACAAAATATACATGCCAGTCAGATTTTTATTTTTTCAAGAATATTTAGTGTTCCTTTCCCTTCCCTCGCCTCTCTGTCCCTTAGTGTAACTCTCCCTCACCCTTAGTGTACCTCTCCCCTCCCTGTCCATTTGTGTTCATCTTCCCTCCCTTCCCCTCCCTGTCCCTTAGTGTACCTCTCGCTACCCCGGTCCCTTAGTGGTTCCCCGCCCCCCACACACCTTTAGTGTCTCTCTCTCTCCCTGTCCTTTAGTGTGTGTGTGTGTGTGTCCCGGTGTGCCTTATTACCTCTCTTGTAGCATGGCTGAGCAGAGCGGACCGCGGTACAGGAGCTTTAGTTTCCTGTACCCGGCCGGACTGACAGGAAGTGCTCTCTCAGTGAGCACTTCCTGTATACCGCGGTCCTGGCAAGCTGTAGTGGTTTTCGTACTTGGAGTGTTCATTTAAAATTGTTCTCCTTTAATACTTTAGAGATAGCATCACAAAGAGGTTTGTGATAGTTTCTGCTATTGCACAGAATCTCACCATGGGGAATCACTGGAATTTTGTGTCTGTCCTGCCCTTTAAAGGGACACTATAGTCACCTGAACAACTTAAGCTTAATGAAGCAGTTTTGGTGTATAGAACATGCCCCTGCAGCCTCACTGCTCAATCCTCTGCCATTTAGGAGTTAAATCCCTTTGTTTATGAACCCTAGTCACACCTTCCTGCATGTGACTTGCACAGCCTTCCATAAACACTTC